AATTATAGTAGAGCAAACGTTTTCTATGTACATTGCTAGTTTGTGTCAATGTCATGACTACGTGATGTGTTTATTGTTAATTCTAATATGTAAGTATGGTTTAATGGCAGAGAGCGAGGCATTAAGTAGGCCCGAGTGTTTTTAGAATATATTACGCAATGCCTTGAAGGACAATATTGGTGCCAGTCATTATCACATACTTGGAATAAGACCCAACTTCATGTTCATAAGGAAATCTTTAAATCTAAGAAGAATGAACTCAACTATAAAATAAAAGAGTGCAAGAAATCATATTTTGAAAACAGTCAAAATAAGCAACGTAAATTATTTAAAATATCAAAATCTCTTCTTGATCATGCACAGGGTCAAACAATTCTACCAGAATCAATTTGAACTAGCATGTAAATTTTCAAACTATTATTCAGAGAAAATTCAAAGAATCTGCTCAGAATTAAAACCAACGCTATTAGCAGACGATGAAAATCACAATTGTGATTCTCAAATCCCTCAGACTTTGTGTAGGTTTCAGACTGTCAATGAGAATGATATTAAAAAAAATAGTGAAAGAATCTTCTAAAACCACATGTTCCTTGGACCCAATTCTACCCAAATTCATAGTGGATAATCTTGATGTGTTTTCTCCGGTTATTACCGATATCATCAATTCTGCTATAAGTGAAAATTGTGTCCCTGATATATTTTAGCATGCCATTGATTTTCCTTTAATCAACCAGCGGCTGCCAGGCAGGATACGCCCACATTTTCGAGAGATGGATAGAGAACAAGCTAACAAGAAAGTGATTTTTCCTACAATCAAGGGCCATAATTCAGGAAATTACAATTCGATATGCGCATATATCGAAAGGAACTGAGATCTTTGTGTTATAAACTTACATTGCAAGTTTCAACAAAATCGGATAAAAATTGTGACCTCTATAGGGTCCACAACCTTGATATACCATATTTTTACGCTATTTGAGAACGAACGGCGGCCATTTTGTCTGTCAATTTTGGGGCGATTTTCACAAAATTTAAACTCAACTGTCCTTAGGGTGGAACGTTAATATAATAATACGGTTTTTTAAATCGGATAAAAATTATGACCTCTAATGGGTCCACAAGCTAAAAACATGATTTTTCGTACAATCAGGGGCCATAATTCAGGAAGTTACGGTCCGATATGGGCAAATATACGGTCCGATAAAAATTGTGACCTCTATAGGGTCCACAACCTTGATATACCATATTTTTACGCTATTTGAGAATGAACGGCGGCCATTTTGTCTGTCAATTTTGGGCCGATTTTAACGAAATTCGAACTCAGTCATCCTTAGGGTGTAACGTTGATATAATAGAACGGTTTTTTAAATCGGATAAAAATTATGACTTCTATAGGGTCCACAAGCTAAAAACGTGATTTTTCGTACAATCAGGGGCCATAATTCAGGAAGTTACGGTCCGATATGCACGAATATCGAAAGGAACCGAGATCTTTAGGTTATAAACTTACATTTCAAGTTTCAACAAAATCGGATAAAAATTGTGACCTCTATAGGGTCCACAACCTTGATATACCATTTTCTTACGCTATTTGAGAACGAACGGCGGCCATTTTGTCTGTCAATTTTGGGCCGATTTTCACGAAATTCGAATTGAGTCGTCCCTAGGGTGTAACGGTGATATAATAATAATGATTTCTCGTACAATCAGGGGTCATAATTCAGGAAGATACGGTCCGATATGCACGAATATCGAAAGGAACCGAGATCTTTGGGTTATAAACTTACATTTCAAGTTTCAACAAAATCGGATAAAAATTGTGACCCCTATAGGGTCCACAACCTTGATATACCATATTCTTACGCTATTTGGGAACAAATGGCGGCCATTTTGTCTGTCAATTTTGGGCCGATTTTAACGAAATTCGAACTCAGTCATCCTTAGGGTGTAACGTTGATATAATAGAACGGTTTTTTAAATCGGATAAAAATTATGACTTCTATAGGGTCCACAAGCTAAAAACGTGATTTTTCGTACAATCAGGGGCCATAATTCAGGAAGTTACGGTCCGATATGCACGAATATCGAAAGGAACCGAGATCTTTGGGTTATAAACTTACATTTCAAGTTTCAACAAAATCGGATAAAAATTGTGACCCCAATAGGGTCCACAACCTTGATATACCATATTCTTACGCTATTTGGGAACGAACGGCGGCCATTTTGTCTGTCAATTTTGGGCCGATTTTCACGAAATTCGAACTCGGTCATCCTTAGGGTGTAACGGTGATATAATAGAACGATATTTTAAATCGGATAAAAATTATGACTTCTATAGGGTCCACAAGCTAAAAACGTGATTTTTCGTACAATCAGGGGCCATAATTCAGGAAGTTACGGTCCGATATGCGCAAATATCGAAAGGAACTGAGATCTTTGGGTTATAAACTTACATTTCAAGTTTCAACAAAATCGGATAAAAATTGTGACCTCTATAGGGTCCACAAGCTAAAAACGTGATTTTTCGTACAAACAGGGGCCATAATCCATGATGTTTCGATCCGATACATGCCAATATCGAAAGCAGCCGAGATCTTTTGGGGATAAACCTATATTTCAAGTTTCGTCGAAATCGGATAAGAATTGTGACCTGTAGAGAGTCCACAAACAATTGTGGACGGACGGACGTCCGGACGGACAGGGGCGACGGCATAATACGTCCACATGAAAATGTGGGCGTATAAAAAGCCCAGCCCTGACATAAATCTTGAAAGAAACTACAGACCAGTGTCTAATTTAAGTTTTATATCGAAGCTTTTAGAACGTTGTATTTCAAAACAGTTAGTGTCTCATATAAGTGATCATGATTTATTAGAAAAGTTCCAAAGCGCCTACCGAAAATACCATAGCACTGAAACAGCTCTCATACGTGTAGACAATGACATCAGCTTATCTGTAGATAAGAGTGAATGTGTTCTACTTGTACGACTGGACTTATCGGCAGCTTTCGACACTGTTGACCATCTAATACTCTTAAATCGACTACAGAATGTCTTTGGAATCAAAGAAAATGCTCTTGAACTTATTACTTCGTATCTAACAAACCGAGATCAAACAGTAAAGTTATAGTTGGTGATCACATTCTTTCTTGTGGCGTTCCGCAAGGATCAGTTCTGGGACCTTTACTGTTTAGGATTTATACTTCACCCGTTGGAGACATAGTACGTAAGCATGGGCTGTGTTTTCAACTATACACTGACGATACTCAGATTTATCTATCATTCAAACCCTCTGTTGACAATCATCTCATTTTTTCAAAGTCAAAACTCGAACAGTGCATAGTTGACATTAAAAATTGGATGACTTCAAACTTTCTTAAATTAAACGATGACAAAACCGAATATCTACAAATTGGTTTTAAAAATGTGCTTAGTAAAGTTGACTCTGATCCTTCAATTCGTGTGTGTAAAACTGTTATATCCCCATCACTAACTGCAAGAAACATAGGAGCCATCTTTGACTCACATTTTACAATGGAAAATCATGTTAATAATATTTGTAAGAATGGCTATTATAAGCTGCGCAATATCAGTAGAATACGTAAATATTTATCTGTTGATGCTACTAGAACTTTAATTCAATCTCTTGTTATTTCACGTCTTGATTGTTTGAACTCATTGTTAACTGGTCTACCGGTTAAGCTACTTTCAAAACTACAAAAACTGCAAAATTCCGCAGCACGTCTGGTTACTGGTGTGGGTTATCTTGAGCACTTAACTCCAATACTTTACACCCTTCATTAGCTTCCTGTATCATTCAGAATTGATTTTAAAATATTGTTAATCACATAAAAATGTATCAATGGTTTCGCACCTCCATACTTATCTGAAGTGATACAAATCCGCACTTCGGTGAGAAACACAAGGTCTTCTAGTGACGATTTACTATTAATTAGTACAACCTCGAGCCAGACTAGCATCCTATGGCGAGAGGGCCTTTTCATTTTATGCACCGTTACTTTGGAATAAATTACCTTATTTTATTCGGAAATCACCTTCCATCATTACATTAAAATCGCACTTGAAAACTCATTTATTCAAACACGCTTTTTACTGATTTTACACATTTGACTGTTTTATGGGTTGTCTCTCTTTTTTTACTTTTTTTAGGAACTTCTTTTTTATTATAAATTGTATTTTTAGGAACTTCTTTTTTTATTATAAATTGTATTTTACTTTGTTATTGTTAAGCGCATCTGAACACTTCGGTGAAAGATGCGCTATATAAATGTATTAAATAATAAATAATAGTATAAATAATGTACGATTGGCAAATTGCCCGTACGATTATTTGAAATAATGGCACGCCAACATCAAAGGGTGACGTCACATCTGTATTTTAATAATATATAATTAGTTAGTAATTTATAATAGGCATAGAAGAGCTATATTATCCCTTTAATATTTAGTTTAATAACCTGACATACAGCATTTATTTTATGTACATCGCTTAGAGTTATCTTTCTTCTGTATGGAAAAGGTATATGACCGATTATTATTAAAGAAGTTTGTTTTGATAGTATAATTAAGTATATATATTTGTGTTCTTTTTGTCTTCTTTCATGTAATCTGTATGCACCAAGATCTATTTTTGTAAAGCTGAATGTCGTAATAGTAGTTATTAAAGGATACCTCAAGTCAAGACCACATGATGTATGTATATTTTGCATGTCATTGTAAGTGGTAAACATAAAGTTTATTTATATTTTCAGAAATCAGACAGTTCAAGAATTATTGAAGGCTATTGTTCTTCGTCATCAAATACTGTACACTGATATTTATGTCCAAGAACTAATAAATGTGTTTTGTAGTAATGGTGAAGACGTGTTGTATTTGTGACAATTCCCAATATGAGTCAAAATGTATGTCGTGGGTGTGTTTGTATTTAGACTTAATCCCTTGTACACAGTCACATAATCATCTTGCTGTTACATGTATTACGTGACGCCGTTGTTACGTGTTGTCATTATTGCACATTGTCTGTATTATACAATGGAGCCACACTGGCTCAGTGAATAAGACGAAATGTTTCGGTGTGGTTTGTTTCCCCCTTGTCAGTGATGCAGGACGGAGGACCTGACAAGGACAGTTGTCTAGTCGTTCGGATGGAACGAAAAACCGAGGTCCCGTGTACACATTAGCGTTCACGTAAAATATCTCTTGGGAGCTGAAATTTGTTATAAGAGTAGGCCTTAGCGCCGCTGTCCGGACAAAATTTCCCTCATAGCACACTGTATGACGTATGTCCGTCTTCATTAGCCCAGTCGGAGCAGAACAGTAGGACGTTATACCCCATTTTGTTTCATTTTTCATTTATTACACAATGACTTTATTATGCAATGCCTATAACAAAATCTGCAGGCGTAGGCCGTGGACTGGGCAAGATTATATGGCTTAGATCTTTACTCTCGTTAAAACGTCTTTTGCTGCCCTTCCATTTTTTTAAATTGATAGATAAAGCAGAACTGACGTTAACCAACATAATATTTATAAAATTATCTGAATTAGAATTATATATTTTCTCGCCACAATACAAAGTTGCTACGCGGTCAAATAACTGACTAATAAAGATCGTTGGATCGTGGCATGTGACTATAGTCACGTGGTCATTGTTGGTAAACAGTGCCGTGATCGAGCCAACTAAAAATATTTTGTTTTACGACTGGTTATTGCAAATAGAACCATTACGGTATTATCTTTGCCAATCTGATTAAAACACAGAAGAGTTGTTATATAACCTGCGTTCTGGGTGGCGTGAGGGATTAGCCAATGAAACCATCTGTTACGTCGACTTCTTTGCGCTCAAGAAATGGGCAATTATTATAATTGTTGTATATTCATGTTGTTCAATCAGGATGCCTATGATCAATATTTACCAATATCATCATCTGATAAATCATCAGCATCAATTTCTGTTGTCGTAAGCATAGTATTATTGCAGTCCCTATATCCATAATGATCGGTGCATGAGATATTTTCAAATCTACATGACCATCTTTTAGAGTCACAGTTTGTTTGGTAATTACAATGTACATATTTTAAAATGTACTCTGGCGCTGGATCAAGACCATCCATTTTATTTAAATGTCATGATCAGCTATATGCCACCCATGCTCTGGCGGGAGTGGGGGAGAAATAACATCTCATAGAAAGCCTATGCATTGCAGTCTGATAGTTAATCTTTTCATATGTAAAATCAAGGCAAAAATGACCATTGAGTTCTATCTAAAAAAAATGTGATGTGAAGATTACGAGATTTAGCTATTACGTGACGTGTTTACGCGATGAAGCTATTATGTAATGTAGGCATTACGTGATGTCATTATTACCCTATGTCTTTATTACCCGATGTAATTTACGCTTTGTTGTGATTACGAGATGTCTCTATTACTTGAAGTCGTGATTATGTGATATATTTATAATGTGATGTCGCTATTTCACGACGCATTATTACCAGATGTCGCTATTTCTTGATGTGGCTATCATCCGATGTGTGTGGGGTTTTTTTTATTGAAATTACAATTTTAATTGAATAAATGCTATGAAATTTCAATAAAATATTCTACTCTCTAATTATTATTATTTTTTTATTTTTTTTAATTATTTTTTTTGTGTGTGTGTGTTATTTATCTAAAAATTGAGAAAATAAGCTAATCAACTGACCTAATATTACGTCTATCCATACACAGAATTTTCGGAATAAAAACTCCAATCGAATTTATAGTAAGACACGATATTCTGAATATCTTGGAGACAATCAAAATTTGAAACTCTGATTTTTTATTTCCATTTCTATTTTTTAGGTTTTTTTTACAGATCTGTGATACAGACCACGTACTTATTTTAATGAGCACGTGTGTTTAATATTTATTTGGATTATATTCTGACTAAAACCATGTCCTTGACTTAAAGTCTCGATTGTTTCATTGTTATATTTTAACAATTGATTAATTACTCCCCAGATGCAAGATGGCTGCGAGTTATCAAACATTATTAAAATAAATCTATTAGGTATTCGATCATCTAACTGAGAAGATCCCATATTAGAAAGCCGTAAAATCCCGAAACAATGAACTAGCTCACCATGTGGTCTTTATCTTATCACAAATGTCTGGTAGCAAGTTGTCGTAGCCTTGTGGTTAGTTAATGCTACGACAATAACCACCATTTTTATAAACTGTGTTTGAACAAGTGAATTTATAATCACCGTGTTATCTTGTTTTCCGAACCAAGTATTCCGAGAAAAGATGATTAATTTCACGATCTTTTCGTATTCCTCTACCCGGGATTTTATAAGAGATAATTACTCGCAAATTTCATGTTTCTGGCCAAACTATACAATATGTTCTGCTGGAGTAGATTTCAACTAGAAACTTATCATCGTCGCTAGCCGGTACTATAACAGTCTTGTTCATCACGCCCGTACAATTCACCACCTTCCAAACCAGGGGGGTTGGGATGGCCTAGTGGTCTAGAGTACCGCACTTCGACCTCTAGCTGGCCGGTCACCTCTGGCTTGCGGTTGTGGTTGTCCGCTAAGATTATAAAAAAAAATAAAAATAAGACTTGTCTTCGATATCACCTTCGGTGGAAGCGGACGTTAAACACCAAGAACAACAACAACGATAGCATTTTTATAAATATGTGTTTGAACAAGTGGATTTGAACAAGAAACTTATAATATTCGCTAGCTGGTTCCATAATAGTCTTATTACACCCACTCAACGCTTTCATGGTAGCATACGAAATTGACGCTGTCTGTATACAGACACGAAGTATACTTAAAAAAATGCTTCCATTTAATGAAACTGAAAATGATTATTTAGTCTTTGTGTGTATGAAAAACCACATTAGAACCACATTACAAAATAGTATACTGATATTTGACTATGGCGACCATTCAAGATATAGATCTATTCTCAAAGTACATATAAGTATTCTAAATTCAATACGGGGAACGAAGTTTCAAAAATATTAATTGATATCAATTAATAAGTTGTTTTCTCGAAAATAACACCTAAAAAAATGTATTAATCCCTGAATTTTTGACACGTTCCGCACATATCGCATCAATTCATCTGTAACTGATCTCTCAAATAAATTTACAAGGTTTTCAATGCAAAAACAATCACGGATAATCAACGGTTTGTTATATGATTGAAACTAGCAAATACTGTAGAATCTCGACTGATTTCAGTACATTACGTAAGTTATTTGAAAGCGGGGGGGGGGGGGGGGTGGATGGCCGAATGGTTAGCACGCGCGCTGTATCATACGGCCTGTCATTGAGTCAACTGGCGGGGTTTCGATTCCTCGGTTGTACGTGACAAGGAGTAGGGTCGCCTGTCCAAATACGTGGGTTTTCTCCGGGTCCTCTGGTTTCCTCCCACTGCCAAAGACCCCTAAGCGTAAGCGAATTCTTGAAATAAGATTGAACCATGTGTTAGTCCCGAAATGACCTAGTTTGTGTCGAGTGGACGTTAAACCCCATTTCTCTCTCTCTCTTCCCCTCTCTCTCTCTATTTTAATGCAGCTTGCTACCGACACCCGACGCTCACAAATCACACCAATTCCCGAACTCGTTATACCAATCTTTACCCTGGACAACCAAGACTATTAATTAAATGTTTCTATGTTCTATGTATTATATCGGTCTACGATCAAGTGTGTTGATGTGGTCAAGATGTAGAACGTTAAAAGATATTGTCACTCTTATTATATATTATATTATAATATATTTGCAATAACAAGTTTCCGACTTCGCAACAACTCTCATACCTACGTTAATTTGTATAATGTCACCTCAGAAGTTATTTTCCGCAAGTCACTTTTGCAAGATGAACATGTCTAAGTCTGTAACTCGTACGAGAATATTCGAACGGCGTTAAACTCCATTTCATTTCATTTCATTTCCGAAACAAAGACACCAGTCAAATATGATTGTGCGATCTCAAATAATGATTGTATGATCTCAAATACGACATGATTTAAACACATAATTAATATTTGGGATGCGAAGATGAAAATTATGTTGTAGGCCTACTACATACAATAACTCGCCTATAATATTAATCCGATTACGTACCCCGCGGCGCTCTCAGGTGTTGTCACCCCTAGATATCCACTCTCCGGCAAAGGAAAAATCGAATAGCCTAAGCCGCAGATCAAAAAGAAAATGGTGGCTGTTAATCCCGTTGAATTGAAGAGTAGAAGACAGTAGAACAACAAAACGTTGATGTTCTTGTCAGTTAATCCTCTTCTGCACGAAATCTTCAACATGGTAGTATTAGTCTAATGTAAAAATTTAATAGCCGAATATCCTCATCTTTCTTTATTCTTGTGTATCTTCCTGCTGATTCCACTGAAGGATATTAATACTTGGAAAATAAATAGCTTTTTATCAAAGGCGAGGGATTTAAGTCGTAGATGTTTGTATTAAATGGCACGTTGAAGCCATTATGAAACATATCACGATGTACACGCACAAAAATAAAACCAACTGATGTACATAAATTGAAATAAAGAAATGCACATAAGGAAGAGAGCGAAACATATTTAAAAGATATAAAACTATATTAACACGATGTAGGGGTTGAATTCTTATCAGCTGAAGAAGATGTCTTACAACTTGTTGTTCATCTGGTTATTTGCTTTCTGAGTTTGTATCTATAAATTACAAGGCTTCTGAAATGATATTAAATGGGTTGTAAAATATTACTTTCCTGCTCCAACTGGACTAACGAAGACGGGTACTGGGTTCCTGGTTGTGCTGATGGCCGATAATCCGAGGATACCGCCTATATAGAAGATATAGAAGCTCCAGAATCTGAAATCTACATCCAGATTATCACCACTCTATGGGTGTCATGCACGTAGAAGACTATCATGTCTTTTTAAACATATAATACTACTTTCCGCACATTCGCTGTTGGTCTTTGGCAGTTTGTTGTAGCCGAGAAAATAGTGA